TTATTATGCCACAATTTTATTTTCAATGCTGGAATCTTGCTACTAGCTTCAAAAATATCACATCCTTTCCTTTGCATCAATAAATTCAACTGATTTGTGATTTCAAATATTGCTGTTATATAAGAAAATGTCGCAAGCCAAAAGATATATTAAAAAGTAGCTGTCATCTAATGTATTTTTCTGGTTAGAAAAGCAGACAGTCGAGAAACTCCTTTCAAAACTTTTCCTCTCGATAACCAGCGTACTTCGGCGTGATACAATGGCCGCAAATCATTTGCTTCTATGTCTTTACAAATTTCTATGTTTCTTTGAATGAGACCATACAAAATTAACAACTTTTATGACATCATTGAGAACAATATCCAAATTACTTTTCTGACCCCTTCATAGCTTTTTCAAAAGAGCCTCTCGATGTACCATGCAATGATTTAAAACACATTCAGGTGAAACCGTTTCGATTTTTTGAACAACCCCATTTGTAGAACCTTGCATGACTGCAACGCCATCGGTAGCTGCGGATTCACACTTTGCCCATTATAAATCACGTGACAGCATGAACTGGTTCAACTTATCGAGAATAGCATGTGCTGTTGCAGAAACCCCAACTTTCACACCTCTCGATTACTTTAGCGGTGTTCACAGTTTCGAATCCGGTGGGGGATAGTTATGTGCGAGAGGATTGCTGCACTGCTCACAGACGTAGGGTGATTCACGTAACCGGGGGTCGATATGGCTTCCTCTATCAAATCCATGCATCCGAAACAAATAACTGACTGACTAATCCCATACCTGACATGGACTGATAACCGGACGACAGGCCGTGGTTCGCCATATGATTGAGCCGTCCTATCGGATTTCCTCTTTCTCATGATAGATATGTAAATCGTATCTTACATACTGGTCATTATGAATTTTATTGGTCAAACTAAGCTTAAAAACGAATTAATCATCGACAACATTGACTAAATGTAACTTCCTCTACATATTCTTATCTGAACTTCCTTCCTTTCATTGGCCTTTGTGAAGAATAAAAAGTGACGTCGAAAAATCTGAGTACACGCAAATATAATTCTACTATCTACTAATATATATTGAAGCTTAAATCAGGGGTGTGCAACCCGCGGGCCAAATGCGGCCCACAAGGGAAAATTGTGCGGCAAAAAATTTAAACGGAAAACGAGTTTTCAATTTACCGGTAGTTTAATCTGATGTGTGCGAGTAATTGCAATCCCGATCCGAGTCCAATTCATTATCTATGCCTATGCGTTCAATGTGGCTTATGCAAAGCAAACAACGCATGTCATACGAGCAATAACCAAAATTTTTGTGCCAGCTACTACCCAAAAACCTATGTTTCACACAGTTATTTGAATCTGACACTCCTGTATTGAAGGTTGCACGCCCCTGTTCTAGGTTATACAACATTGGTTATCACACTGCGGTCCGCGAAGCGATTTTACGGGGACCGCGAGGCAACTTCATTCTTGGCACAGAAGCACTTCGATTTGAAGTAAACTTTTGATGTCATGATTTTGCAGTATTTCTCCAATATACGACTATCGAAGACATTATTACATATAAAATACTATATTAAAAAAATATTACCGATTCATCGAGAATCCGTTTGAAATGGTGACCGTACCTTTGAACCCAAGTACATTTGAACCCATGTGTATATCCGCGGGTTCAATCAATATGCGGGTGCTAAAACCCATGGGTTAGGGTTAGTATGGGTTCAAATATCCGTAAATCAAAAAATTTTTCTGTAGGTGTAATAGTATGCAGATGCAATCGTCGTGGGTTCAAATGTACGTGGGTTCAAATGTAATGGAACCGTTTGAAATCACTGTTAGCGATATACCTTTGGAGGACATTTTAATTCCAAAGCAGTTCATTGATTTTGTGAGTGATGGTGATGCAAAACAAAATTTCCAGAACATGTTCCGCAGGTAATTTTTGGATTGAAATGACACTGTCCAGGGCTACCACTTTTGTCTGAAAAAGAACATCTCATTTTAAAGTGGCAGCCCTGGCACTTTCCTATCCCGATGTCGCCAAGATGGCACTTGAACTGTTTTAATGTCATTCAAGAGATGAATGCTTGATATACCGCGATGCTATTTGCTTTCAATTCTTTAGTGGACCGCGAGTCATCAGAAAAATCAGAAAAGGGCGATCAGAAAAGGGGGCCTTTATACATAATTTTTCAAAAAGTTTGAGAACCAACGTTATACAATATACTACAATGCAACATACTAACAGTAGCGTATCTATGTGAAATGGCACCCATGGCAAAAATTGATAATGCGCCCCCCTTGATAGTTGGTTGACAATTTACAATGACCGCTGTTGAAATGAGATACTTGTTCGTTATTAATTGAATAAAAATCGAGTTCCAATTTAAAGTTATTTAATTGCAACATTCTACGATTGAAACTTTTTTTCGTTTTTGCGCCCATGTTCAAACGGCTGTCATACCATAGACACGCCACTGCATACTACATCTGCGCGATAATATGAAAAGCACGAGAATAAATTTACATAAATTAATCAATATAGCAAACCCAAAATTTTAGTAACACAAAATACAGCTATTTTCATCATATATCAAACACAGCTAAAAATTATTAAGTAAAATCCATTTTTACTTAAGGGTAAGGGGTGCAGTGTTCTTCAAACTAGGGGTCCCGACCCGACGATGGGTCACAAAAAGGCTTAAAGGAGATTGCGGTAAAATCTCTCATATATATGCAGCACAAAGTACAGCTAATTTCATCACAAATGGAACACAGCTAAAAAAAATTGATTCACCGATTCGAAAAAAATCTGCCTTGGTATGCTAAAGAACAAGGTTGTGCAATTACTTTTCTAAGTGGGTCACTCACAAATAATAGACTTGGTTACTGGGCTGAAGGTTGAAAACTCAATGTGAAAAATATGAATAAAAACAGTTTATTTACATTTATATATTAAAAAGAAGCACAAGGCGTTATTTTCGCAGATATGAAACATGGAAATCAGTAAATTTACAAATACCTGGTGTTGATGACAATCGCCTGCCTGCTCGTTTCACTGATGTAATGCCATAGGTATTTGTTACAAGGAAAACTTATACCCATAAAACTATAGTAGGCTCGATTAAACACTTTGCTGGGTCGGATCTGGCCCGTAGGGCGTAATATAGCATACAGTTGGATTGACTGATATCAACTAGACACAATGTGATTGAAAAAACTAACCAATCTTCTATAATAAGACACTTGAATAGAAAATATGAGAACTTATCTTAAGTATAAGAAAAAACACAAAAAAAAATTGAATATTAGATTCATATTCACATCTAAACAGTGTAAAATAGCGCCCATGGCAAAATAAAAGAAGCTCATGAAATATGTGTACCAATATGGAGGTAACTAATTTTGTTTGCCTACTTTACACCAAGTTGTGTAAAAGGACTGAAACCTATGGACAAGAGGTATATTTACTTGGCTAACACAGACAGTGTAGTAATAGAACTGAACTCGTAATAGAACTGAAATAAGGAAATCGGAATAAATTATGGCCTAATTCTAACCAGGTACACATACTACAGGAGTACCCATTTTCAGTGTCATATTCTCAATAATAAAATTTTACGAAGCTTGTCAGTCAGTATATCTTGGAAGAGCGGTGCTGAATTAACCATTAAGCGAAATAAGAACCAACCTCACGAAACCAAGGGAAGGGGACGCCACAGAAATTTTTAATGGTGGCTCAGTGTTTATAAGGGTGTTTATAAAGTCCATTTACAATTCTAATTCTGTTATGAAGTCAGTTCTCAATATATCTCCAGGTTTGTTGTATTTTAATCAGTAATTGTAAGTATTTTTACTTCATTTAATACACCTTTGACGGCCAAAACAATATATGGTATCAACGAATTCCCTTTGCAATTTAAAAAAAATTTAAGACTTCACATAACAAAGTATTTCATCTGGAGACTCATACTCCAGTAAAGGCCCGGATGAAATAAATTTTCAAATATCATCTAATTGAATACAAAAAAATATAAAGAAAATTGAATATTAAAATTAAAAATCACAAAATAGAATATAAATTTACCAATTTTTTCAATTATTAATCAAAAGAAGACTTTTCAATTTTAATTTTAGCAATTTTTTATGCAATTTGGTTCAAAAAAATTAAAACTGATGTACTAGGTGATGATTATATGAAAATTCGAGTAGAATTATTAAAAATGCATTTTTTTTCAAATTTTTATTTTTTTGTGGAAAAATTTGAATGTTTTAAAAACTAAGACAAAACTGAAGTTATTAGGCAATAAAATCTGGAAAATTCAAGTTGAAAAAATTAAAAAAAAATTAAAATATACAGTTTTTTTTTTCAATTTTTTGTTTTTGTGATAAAACATTTGCGTCTGTGAGAATAGTGTGTGTACAGAAACATCAGCGTGATAATATACAAGCACAAAGATATTTAAGACTTCACAAAACAAAGTATTTCATCTGGAGACTCATACTCCAGTAAAGGCCCGGATGAAATAAATTTTCAAGTATCATCTTGAATACAAAAAAATCATAAGGAAAATTGAAAATAATTAAAAATGAATAGAGATCAATATTTACAATTAGTAATCAAAAAAGACTTTTCAATGCTTTTAATTAGAATTATTGAAAATGCAATTTTTGTTTCAAGTTTTTATTTTTGCGGCAAAACTTTAATTTTCTGAAAGTATTGAGTAATGCTTTAAAGCAGAGGTGTGCAGCATTTTTTGTCAGTGGGCCATATAATGATATAACCAACTTCAAAAATAAACTGTCTAATTCAAATTTTATGCCCAATGGAGAAAATTCAAGTGTAGACAATGGCTACACTAAATGTCATGGTGGGCCAGGTTAGGTGGGCTACGTTTTCCCGAAAATAAGACCAAGAATAAATTTTGAAAATGATTTTAATGTAAGCCATCATTTTAAAAAAAGACCTAGTCTGTAACATAATTTTTTTTTTCTTCACTTTGCCGATAGCAAGAAATTTCTTCTACATGTTTTAATGGTTAAATTAAAACGTGTTATTTATAAGTAAATGTATAACGATTTTCATATTTTGTATATTTGAAAATCTTGTAATTTTCCACTTTGTAATTTTGTCTTAGATAATTAAAATTATAAGACATATCCTCAAAAATAAGCAACAGTGTTTTTATTTCGAAAAAAATTGAAATAAGACCATGTCTTATTTTTGGAGAAATCTAATAAGTTTCCGAAATATCGGCAGAAGAATAAGATGAACCAGCATTGTAGAACTTGCTCATGTTCTTGTCAGAATCACAGAATGAGCGGTCACCGGTTGGATCTAAAAACAAGTGAATGAATTAAATATTAGAGCAGTGGCTCTTAACCTTTTATGGCTTGTGGCCCCTTTACAGAAGCTTGCTCTTGGCACTCATGCCCCTACCCCTGTTTATCATTCTGTTACAGCTTCCTCCACCATCAAATTTTTGCTTCCAAAAGCAAATAACTGGCCAACTAATCTCTTATCCGACATGGCCAGGTAATCGGACGTGGGGGCCGTAGTGTGCCAAATCATTAAACCGGCTTTTCTCTCACATGAGAGAGTGTGTCACAGAACCGGGATTTGTGAAGAGTGCCACGGCAGGTCATCAATGACCATCCTGTTTAAGAAAGATAGAAATGTTTTTAATATTTTACCTGTTCCTTTGAGTGGATGGCCGTCAAATCCAACTTGAAAAGTATAAGGTTCGCTTCCTTCCTGCTCCAGCTTATACTCCAGAGTTCCTTTTGCTTTCGGTAAACATTTGAAAGAGCTTGCTAGGAAATCATTGTCAATTAGCTGTCTGCAGGGGAAAGTGTGATCGGAGCAAGGGGAGACAGGGACATCGTTGATGCTTAGGGCGACCGACAAAACTCTGTCGAAGTCTAATTCTGCAGATATAGGCTTGCTGAAGATTTTTTTCAAAGCCTTTTTCCAGGTAGAATTTTGAAGCTTTGTGAATACTGTTTTGCTTGCTATGCAACACAACAACCTCTTCTGCTTTTTTGAGTAGCATTGCCACAATTAGAACTTCATTCTTGCCTGAAATGAAATAATAATTAATTTTGGTACTCCTGTGATGTGTGTACGAGGTTAGGGTTAGGACATAATTTAATTCCGATTTTCCTTATTTTAGTTCTATTACGAGTTCGGAGACTGTATATGTTAACCACATCAATATACCCCCTGCCCACAGGTTTCAGTCCCTTTATACAAATTGATGTAAAGTAGGCGAACAAAACTATTTACCTCCATATTGGTACGAACACTTCTGGAGCAGCCTAATTTTAGCGCAGAACACCTCAGGGAATGATTATTTTAGGTTTTAAGAATTTTATATAGGTTAGGATAGGATTTACATATTTATCTCGGGGGAGAGGAAAGCCGATAAGACGGCTTATCCATATGGCGAACCACGGCCTCTCGTCCGGTTACCATTCCAAGTCGGGTATGGGATTAGTTTTACTGTATTGTTTGTTTTCGGAAGCATGGACTTGGTGGTGGAAGAAGCCGTAACGGACCAGCGGTTACGTGAACCACCCAACGACGGCGAGGAGTCCAGCGATCCTCTCGCACATAACCATCCCTGCATGGGATTCGAACCTGCGAACCATCGCAGAGTAATTAGAGGTGCGGTGGCGAGAATATTCCTAACGCTTAGTTTGCGACTTTTACTTCCTCTAAATGATCAAGTTTGATCGTCTTCTCGACATGCCGAAGCGGCCGTTGCCAGCCGCGATGGGGCTATATATCTCCGGACGAAGAGTAAAGGAAGAGAGAGAGAGATTTTGTTTTGTTGGATTTCAACCGAGAGATAGGGCCACACCCAGTAATCAATTGTCCAGTGTCAAGGTTGTTTCTATACTAGCATATGTTCTTCAGGTGCAGTTTTTTTCACCTCAGACTTTCCCTAGCTCAAAAAATGCAGTGGTGAACCCTATGTTACTAGCTTGAGGTAGATTTCACTCTATGGCAGTGGTTTTCAAACAGTGGAGCATGCCCCACAAGGCGGTTGAGCAAATTTTTTTGAGAAAGCGTGGAGCTAAATAAAAATTTAAGATATTTGTTATATTTGATCTTGCCCGCCTCATTTTGGATATTTACGTTCGATCCATGTATTTTTAACATGTTTGTTGAATAAAATACTTTCATCTTACTATCTCTTATTTGTAGCTTATGAGTATTTAGATTCTAGATATTTTTGAGAGGGTCGCGAGACAATTTTAAAAAGGGGCCGCAGCCTAAAAAGTTTGAGAACCATTGTTCGATATTGTGGTAGACATGCGCTATACTACCACCTTGAGGTAGAATTTGCGCTAAAGGAGTAACCTGCCATAGTTACCTCATAATGAGGTTATACCATTATGAGAAATCTATGACCTGTGCGGCGATGTGACTCATCGTGCTTTAGGAATACGCTCGCCACCACACCTTCGATTACTCTGAGTGGGTTCGCAGGTTTGATCCCAAGCGAGGATAATTATTGCAAATTATGTGCGAAAGCATTGATGTACTCTTTGTCGCCATAGGGTGGTTCACGTATCCGTTGGTCGATTACAGCTCCCTCTACCATCAAGTCCTTGCTTCCAAAAACAAATAAATAACTAATCCCATACCGGTACCCGACATGGAATGGTAACCGGACGAGAGGCTGTGGTTCGCCATATGGTTGGGCCTTATTATCGGCTTTCCTCTCCCCCAGGATAAATATTCAAACCTATCCTAACTTACCATTCAACTTTTTGGTCAGACGATCTTCTTGTTTTGTGTGTTGTCCAAACACATTAGTTTCGTTTTCATGAAATTCCCCCCATGACATGTGAGAGGAATCTGACACAAAACCTGAAAAAAAAAGAACAACAATGCATTGAAGAATAAGAATGAAAATTCTCTGCGACAATATTTAAAACAATAGATTTCGAATCTGCAAACCCACTCAGGATGATCAGAGGTGCAGTGGCAAGCATATTCTTAGCGTTTAGCACAGGGGTTCCCAAGCTTTTTTCAGGACGACCCCAGAGACAACTTTCAAGTGTCCAGTGCGACCCCGGGTCAATATATATATATTTTATGAAACTTTAGAGCTTCTTTCACTGGACTTTTGAGTTTGGTCATGTGGGGGTATTAAATAAATAAAGCTAAAAACAAACAGTGATGTCACAATGAACACCGACATTTTCTATAGCCTAATTAAGCATAGAGCGATGCCTATGGGCCTGTTTTACAGTAAGCCATGGTACAAACTGCTAAAATTAACATGGTCTTTCAAATCTTAGATGTTTTGTACATCCAGCCTCTACCATACCTCAGCGACCCCACCGACCCCATGACCTGTTTGCGACCCTACTTATTTATCATCCCGACCCAATTTCTGGTTCAGCAAAATGCCCACACACCAGAGACAAACATAGAGTTAAATACTTACCCGACTCATCCCCGTTGTATCTTTCTTGAGTTTGGCGTTGTATTCTCAGGGCTGGAGTCGGCATCCATTGGTTTCGTCGGTTTTCAGCATTTTGTCGGTATTGATTTTTCTTTGAACCTGAAATGGGAGAATTTAATGTCATTTCATGGCTTCTTCAGTAAGTCGTTTTGGAAACTTTTTTAAGGTAATTTATGAGATAATTTATTAACCAACATCCAATTGTGAATGTTTGCTAATTCTGGGTTTGCAACTGGGAATAGATCGTCCAGTCATAAAAGGGACTGAAACCTATGGGCAAGGGGTATATTTATTTGGCTAACACAGACGGTTCTGCACTCGTAATAGAACCAAAATAGGGAAAATTGGAACAAAATAATGGCCTAACCCTAACCTGGTACACACACTACAGGAGTACTTAAATGAGCAGCAAAAAAACATTTCCTTACTTATTTTTTCTCAGAGAAGTCGATCGAGAATGGATGAGAACATACAGGCTCGCCGCACTGTTCAAGTGTAAACACCAGGCGACATTTTTCAAGTGTAAGAGAATCCTTGGGAGTACATTCAAAGTCACGAGAAAAGAAATCAAATTTTTTCAGCATGCTGCATTGAAAACGGTGACCATCTGCAGGAGATACCTGTACATTGTCATTGGATAAGGATAGCACACATTCACCGCGGATATTGAGTAGTGCTTGTTTAGGTGCGTTGTTAGCGAGTACGTAATCTTTGTCTGTGTAACTCTTTATCATTTCATCGCTATGCCAGCTTTCTTTGCCAACAAGAACAACCATGTTTCCTTTTTTTTCCAGCAGCAATATCTTTACCCCAATCTCCGATTCTTAAAATAAATAAAGAATTACTAGTTCACTGTTTTTAAATCTTGAAGAAATCTTGAAGAAAGTATCAAGATTTGTTCCTGAATGTAGAATAGGAAAGGATTTACAGATTTATCCCGGGGGAGAGCAAACCCAATAATACCGATTAAACATATGGCAAGCCACATCCTCTTGTCTGGTTACCAGTCTATGTCGGGTATGGGATTTGTTGGCTAGTTATTTGTTCCAGACTTGATGGTATTGAAAATATTCAAAATAACAAACCAGTGAATTTATTGTGAAAAAGCAAAACAATGTACATTTTTAAAACAAAAGTGTTCATACAACTTCAAAAAATCAACACCCACCTGGAGTCTGGTGTTCATGTTCCCACTCGAAAGTAGCTCTTTCATGCGTTGATTCTGGTGAGTTACTTACACTCGGTTTCAAGACATGCTCGATTAAATATTTTCCTTCTTTTGTCGCTCCACTGAGAGTGAATTTTTTTTCCAAAGTATGACGTAATGATATGTCATCATATGACACCAGGTGGTGCGGCGGAGTAAATTTAAGGCTCGATGGACCATCATGACAATCCATTTTACTTCGATAATCTTTGCCATGTTGTAGCTTTGCGCATCTTTTTTGCTTATCAATTAGGTTAAATCCAACATTTTCCCATTCTCGAATTCTTTGTTCCAACTCGTCCAATCTGACGCCATCAACATTGTAAAGAATAATGACCTTGTTCCCGTTGACAAGGAAGAAATATAAAACATAGAGATCTCCCGCTGAAAAAAAAGTTTTTAGTTATGTCATATTATGGTGCATTCTGTAAAGCAGGGGTGTGCAACCTGCAGCCCACAAGGAAAACTTGTGCAACTCGCCGAGAAGCGCCATTTTTGAATATCGTGTGACCGTGTAACAAGTTTCTAATTTAATCTAGTATGTATAAGTTTTTTTTCCAATTTCTTTGTGTTGCAATGCCCATATCTGAGCTTGTGCAAGCGAACAATGCATGTCACAAGCTCAATAACCAAGTTTTTGTGGCTGCAACAACCAGGAGCCTATGTTAGTAAAGATGCAACCCACGGTTTCCATCCCGGTTATTTGTATCTGGCCCTCGGGTGTTAAAGATTGCATATCCCTGCTGTAAAGATCATGAATTAGAGATGTACCTATATCACTTTAATGGCTGACACCAATCCGAACTACGGCAAAAAACGCGGATCCGATATGTCATATTCAAAAAGGCGTATCAATGTTTCAAAAGCCAATATTGACGATACCGAGATTCCGATACTATGCATTGTAAATATTACCTCAAGTGTGCAGGCAGTGGGTTAAAACAATAGTTTGTGAGGCATATATTCATAGTATCATTATTTCATATTGAAAAATATATAGAATCTGGTATACCTTTAGCCAAATCCGATACCAAAAAATATGTGCAAAAAGAATACTGGACTCGCAAAATCAAATATTTTTATTTAGCTTCACGCCCTCTAAATAAATTGTCTACGCTCCCTTAGTGTCATTGCCCTACTGACAAAGATTGCAGTAATTTTTTTTGAATATGATTCATACATGCACTTAAAATTGTGAATTGGGAAAACTCGGCTATCATAATGCACCTACTATCCATTTAGTTTTCAAGAGGCGAAATTAAAAGTTTGAGGCTCCAACCCTTGCTGTACCTGGCTGAGCACCTGTGGTATATTCACTGGAAAAACCCCTAAACTTACCTAGAAATTCTTGCTAGTACCGCCCGAAACTAGTTTATTCCAGTTTAGTCCAGCCAAATTCTTTAATAGAGACAAAGCATGTATGATTGTATGAATAGATGTTTGAAAAAATGAATATTACTGGGCTGAAGCGCTTAAAACTCAATAAGATATAGCCAAACTATAAACACTGTTCTCAAAGTTTTATTCAATTCAGATTATAGAGCAAATATCCAGACCCACCAACTCCAAATTATATATTGAGATTTTTTCCGATTATTCAAGACTTGCCTTTACTCTGTCGTTAAACTTTAAAGGATCATTTCCTATTGTGTCCATTGATTTTTATTTGTATTTCGAGCTTGCCTTTCCCCCTAGTTTTTTTTTGTGGCCTGGCTAGATGTCTGTGGTTAGTTATAGGGTCTGCTGGTAAAAATGTTGAACCCCTGGCTTAGAATATATATTTTTTATGGTGCTTGGGATTGGATTTACGTATTTATCCCAGGAAAGAGAAAATCCGATAAGATGGCTCAATCATATGGTGAATCACAGTCTCTCGCCCGGTTACCATTCCATGTCGGGTATGGGATTAGCTACGGTGGTTATTGAAATGGGAGAATTTAATGTCATTTCATGGCTTCTTCAGTAAGTCGTTTTGAAAACTTTTTCAAGGTAATTTATGAGATAATTTATTAACCAACATCCAATTGTGAATGTTTGCAACAACCTGGAAGCCTATGTTTAGAAAAGATGCAACCCACGGTTTCATCCAGTTATTTGTATCTGGCCCCGTCGGGTATTAAAGATTGCATATCCCTGCTGTAAGATTATGAATTAGAGATGTACCTAATACCACTTTAATGGCTGACACTAATCTGAAACTACGGCAAAAAACGCGGATCCGATATGTCAATATTCCAAAAGGCATATTCATGTTTTCAAAAAGTCAATATTGACGATACCGAGATTCCGATACTATGCAGTGTAAATATTACGTCAAGTGTGCAGGCAGTGGGGTTAAAACAATAGTTTGTGAGCATTATTCATAGTGTCATTATTTCATATTGAAAAATATTAAGAATACCGGTATACCTTTAGCCAAATCCGATACCAAAAAATATGTGCAAAAAGAATACTGGACTTCGCAAATCAAATATTTTTATTTAGCTTCATGCCCTCTAAATAAATTGTCTACGCCCCCTTAGTGTCATTGCCTCATGACAAAGATTGCAGTAATTTTTTTTGATATGATTCATACATGCACTTAAATTGTGAATTGGGAAAACTCTGTCTATCATAAATTCCACCTACTATCCATTTAGTTTTCAAGAGGCCCTAAATTGAAAAGTTTGAGGCTCCAACCCTTGCTGTACATTGACTGCAGCATCGCTGTGGGTTATTCACTGGAAAAAACCCCTAAAACTTTACCTAGAAAATTCTTTGCTCAGTACCCCGCCCGAGAACTAGTTTATTCCCAGTTTAGTCCAGCCAAATTCTTTAATAGAGACAAAGCATGTATGATTGTATGAATAGATGTTTGAAAAAAATGAATATTACTGGGCTGAAGGCTTAAAACTCAATAAGATATAGCCAAACTATAAACACTGTTTTTCAAAGTTTTATTCAATTAGATTATAGAGCAATATCCAGACCCACCAACTCCAAATTATATATTGAGATTTTTTCCGATTATTCAAGACTTGCCTTTACTCTGTCGTTAAACTTTAAAGGATCAATTTCCTATTGTGTCCATTGATTTTTTTTTGTATTTCGAGCTTGCCTTTCCCCCTAGTTTTTTTTTTGTGGCCTGGCTAGATGTCCTGTGGTTAGTTATATGGTCTGCTGGTAAAATGTTGAACCCCTGGCTTAGAATATATATTTTTTATGGTGCTTAGGATTGGATTCACGTATTTATCCCAGGGAAGAAAAAAAGCCGATAAGATGGCTCAATCATATGGTGAATCACAGTCTCTCGCCCGGTTACCATTCCATGTTGGGTATGGGATTAGCTACGGTGGTTATTGAAATGGGAGAATTTAATGTCATTTCATGGCTTCTTCAGTAAGTCGTTTTGAAAACTTTTTCAAGGTAATTTATGAGATAATTTATTAACCAACATCCAATTGTGAATGTTTGCAACAACCTGGAAGCCTATGTTTAGTAAAGATGCAACCCACGGTTTCATCCAGGTTATTTGTATCTGGCCCTCGGGTATTAAAGATTGCATATCCCTGCTGTAAAGAATTATGAATTAGAGATGTACCTATACCAACTTTAATGGCTGACACCAATCCGGAAACTACGGCAAAAACGCGGATCCGATATGTTCAATATTTCAAAAAGGCGTATCAATGTTTCAAAAAGCCAATATTGACGATACCGAGATTCCGATACTATGCATTGTAAATATTACCTCAAGTGTGCAGGCAGTGGGGTTAAAACAATAGTTTGTGAGCATTATTCATAGTATCATTATTTCATATTGAAAAATATATAGAATACTGGTATACCTTTAGCCAAATCCGATACCAAAAAAATATTGCAAAAAGAATACTGGACTCGCAAAATCAAATATTTTTATTTAGCTTCACGCCCTCTAAATAAATTGTCTACGCTCCCTTAGTGTCATTGCCCTATGACAAAGATTGCAGTAATTTTTTTTGATATGATTCATACATGCACTTAAATTGTGAATTGGGAAAACTCGTCTATCATAATTCACCTACTATCCATTTAGTTTTCAAGAGGCGAAATTAAAAGTTTGAGGCTCCAACCCTTGCTGTACCTGGCTGAGCACCTGTGGTATATTCACTGGAAAAACCCCTAAAACTTTACCTAGAAATTCTTGCTAGTACCGCCCGAAACTAGTTTATTCCAGTTTAGTCCAGCCAAATTCTTTAATAGAGACAAAGCATGTATGATTGTATAAATAGATGTTTGAAAAAATGAATATTACTGGGCTGAAGGCTTAAAACTCAATAAGATATAGCCAAACTATAAACACTGTTCTCAAAGTTTTATTCAATTCAGATTATAGAGCAATATCCAGACCCACCAACTCCAAATTATATATTGAGATTTTTTCCGATTATTCAAGACTTGCCTTTACTCTGTCGTTAAACTTTAAAGGATCAATTTCCTATTGTGTCCATTAATTTTTATTTGTATTTCGAGCTTGCCTTTCCCCCTAGTTTTTTTTTTGTGGCCTGGCTAGATGTCTGTGGTTAGTTATAGGGTCTGCTGGTAAAAATGTTGAACCCCTGGCTTAGAATATATATTTTTTATGGTGCTTAGGATTGGATTTACGTATTTATCCCAGGGAAGAGGAAAGCCGATAAGATGGCTCAATCATATGGTAAATCACAGTCTCTCGCCCGGTTACCATTCCATGTCGGGTATGGGAATAGCTACCGTGGTTATTTGTTTACTGAAGCATGGATTAGATGGTGGAGGAAGCCGTAACTGACCAGCGATTACGTGAACCACCCTACGACGTGAAGAGTCCAGCAATCCTCTTGCACTTAACTATCCCGCATGGGATTCGAACCTGGGAACCCACGCATGGTAATCAGAGGTGCGGTGGCGAGCGTATTCTTAACGCTTAGCACGATGAATCACATCCCCACGCCATATCATATACAGTACTTTTCATATTTTTTGGTAAATTTTGGCTACGAAGCCCCGCTGGAACAGCTTGTGTTGTCCAAATTATTGCAGTAATTAACTGGAAATTACAGTAAAAATTTACTCACTGTAGGTAAAGAATCCTTGTTTTATGGTACTTTGATACTTTGAGAAACTACGAGCAAAGATCTCATAGTGATATTTTTCTCCCGGACATAATCCTTCATGATGATGGGTATACTTTGCATCAGTTGAATCAATAACTTCGTCAAAAATTTCTTTCCCATCTTTCTCTTTTTTAAGAATCTTAATAGTATAAGATGTGTACCCCATTTCCTCTTTTCTCCATTCTAAAGTAAATCCATTTTGTTGCTTACAGCACAGCACAACAACTTCTGATGGCTCTGAAAAAAAGATAAAATAGAATAAAGCTCTGTACAAAAGTATTTCACAAGCCTTTAGATACAGAAATACTAAAAGATTCCATCTAGTAACAATTATCCGATATTTGAAATGTAGCTATTGTTCAAGATCTGCAATTGTTTTAATCATTGAGCTGGAGTTATAAACTTTCTATTACTCTCAAATATCCAATGTATCGTGCGCCATCCCATGTATCGTGGCAGGTTCGTTGTTTTTAATCAGTAACTGTACAAGTGTTTTAACTTCATTTAATACAGGGGTCTCAAACTCAATTTACTTGGGGGCCGCTGATGCTGAGTCTGGATGAGGGCGGGTTGCATCAGGTTTTCCACAATAAAAGCTTAGCAACTCGTTTAAATTGTATTCCTTGTGCACTGCAACTTTAACTGTGCAGATAAAACATGTCGGGATGCTCCTATGCTCAACAAGGAAATGTTACATTTCCCAGTTTTTTGAAATTTTCTGTGCTCATCACCAACCTTTCTGTTTACTGAAACTTCACTTCCAACGACACGTTTAGGATTGTGCGAAATTATAAAATTCCATCTTGTAATAACTGTTGCGCTGATGTTTCAATCAAGCATTTAGCCGATGGACAGTGATGTTTCGCCACACGGAAAACATGGTTACAATGTATCGAGATAAGCGTTAGTGATTGTGACGTCAAAAATCATGGAATACTGTTTTAAAATTATTTCAGGCGGTCCCGCGATTGAATATTAGGCCTACAGGTATGGTAGGCTACTGGTAGGTTACCGCACCGCATATTCCTTTCAGGGGATAGATGGTAAAATATTTTGTTTTGCCCAAGTGACTATATCTTATATTACGGAATTTACCTTTTTTGGCCACGGAACACTTACACTTTTTATATCACCTCGCGGAACACCAAAAATTGAAGGGTTAATTTGATAAAGAAAAACAGTGCAATGTAGGGGTTCCCAATGGTTTCGCCGTGGCGAGTTGAAAATGCGCGACAAACTTTCAGCATTTCGAAGTAAAACCAGGTAGAGATGGAGGAAGAACGGACTTTTTGCGTTTATTCTGCAGAATTACTTGTTTGTCTTTAACAAAACCAAAAGAAGTACTGTAAATTTGATAATATAATTAACAGTCAAAAAGCTAAACCGACGGTTAACGAAAATGCCACTACCCTAACTCAGTTAGTCCACTTTAGGCCGACGTTAACGCGATTTTAAACGGTCAGTTGGGCAACAACTTCATGATTCTCAGATCGCCATGGCGACCAATTTAGATGTATTTTCGATTCTTTTTCCACGCAACACTCGGTAGATGCTCGCAGAACATTAGTGTTCAGCGGAACACAGTTTGGGAAGGGCTGTTATATTGAAACCATTAATCATGCTAACTGAGCTAAGTGACTTGCGGGTCGCACTAACATTAATACCAAGGCGGGGACCACAAACTATCATCCTGCGGGCCGCAATTGGCCCGCGGGCCGCGAGTTTGAGACCCCTGATTTAATACATCTGTGAGAGCCAAAACAATATATGGTATCGATAAATTACCTTTGCAATTTTTGGGAATTCATATGCGTGTTTTCGTACTCTAATTTTATGAAATCGAGTGCTATAAAAATAGAAATGCTGCATAAGTGAAGCCCAAAACTACACGAACACCAACGGAAGCTTATACGATTTGTTTCCGAAGTTTCTTATAGATGACAACATTGATTAAATAAATATCTGTGACCCACTATCTTCCCGCGATAAAAATATAATTTTTGACCCATTCATTAAAAAAGGTTCGCCATCCCTGACCTATATATATATATATAAATCCTATCATAATGAGGTTATTCAAAAATAAAAAACAGTGCGCTCACTTGTACAAACTGTGTCAGCTGTTTCCCAATGATCTTCATAACCGTCAGAGATCAATCTCACTTTAAAATCATATTTTGTTGAAGGCTTGGGAGAGAATGAATACTTGTTGAGACTTGAAGTTATTTTATCAAGATACAGTTTTTCGTTTTCGTGAAGTTGGAGTTCGAACTTTTTGTTTTCAAATCTGTTCCATGTATACTTTAGTTTGGATCCATCTATTTCACCTTTCGGCCCCAGCTTGACAAAATCTGAAACAAATGAAATTTTTGTCATGTTTACCGGTAATTAATAAATGACATCCCAGTCTGTCACCTCACATTGGAAGTGATGCAAAAGACATTTGACTCTTAATACAATAAGTTTAGTGTTTTACGTTTCACTTTGACTAAGTCAGCTATTCCCAAACTTTTTGTTTGTGCGGTGCCAAATTATCAATTACTCGCGAAGCACTCACATGAAAAAATATGCTGCTCTTCAATAAATTTTGATATCGTGATCGTTATTGTGTACTTTAACGTCAGTAAACTTCTAGGCCCAAGGAAATAAGGCAAAAGGTCAACTCTTCTTCCTCATTTCTGCCTGTTTGCTGAATTCGGTTCAGCAGATAAATAAACTGCAGCTCACGAAATTGCAGCAAGTGGTGTCTATATCTATTTTAACATAACACTGGGGACAGACAGACACTATGTAACAGAAAGTAAATGACATGGAAAGTTAAATGGAATTCATTGATTAATATACACATGTATTTGAAAAAGCAAGCAGTAAACCTTTTATAATAAATACAATATGTAAACTATCAAATCATATTTTAGTGATGTTCAACACAATTCTGTTAATTTTCGCAACGCACCAGACAACACGTTGTGGCTCACTTTTTGGGAATTGCTGTGCTATTATCAGAGTCAGTATTAATAAATGTGACTCACCTGTAGTAAACTCAATTTTTTCCCAGACTTTTCCATCAACTAATTTGACAAATAATTCATAGTTTGTGGAAGGCTTTGATTCAAAACTATATTTGTGGTGATTAATCACCTTTCTTACAACCACTTTTCCATCCTTTCCAACCACATCATCCTTTTCTTCAATTATTATTTCATACTCTTTTCCTTCAATTTTGTTCCAAGAGAACTTGGTACTGAAGTTTTCAACATCTTTTTTCGGCATTAAAACTGTAGAAAAATAACTCAATTTGATTTTGTGATGGTACTCAATTAGTTGATGTAGGATTTACATATATATCTTGGGGAAGAAGAAAGCCGATAAGACAACTTAATCCCATGGTAAATCACGGGCCGTTGTCTGGTTATTACATCATTCTGTATCGGGTATGTGATTAGTAAGCCAGTTAGTTGTTTTCAGATGCATGGACTTGATCGTGGAGCAACCTTCAGTGGCGACAAAAATAATCTGAGAAAAAGTGTCAGTTGATACCAGAGGCGAGGCTAGGGAATGGCCATAGGGCAGCTGCCCCAGACAGCACATTGTATGCGGTAGCTCACACTGAATAAACCAATTTTCAAAATAGAACTTGCTTTGGGCACCAAGAAAACACGGGCACAACAAAAATTTGACCGTTGGTCGATTATGCCTTCCTGACACGGGGAACCAAAGCTGGATATCGAGCAGCGACACCCAAAGTTCAAACATCTAATTTAAAATGTTGGAATTTAGTTGTGATGTCATTCATACCTATGGAAACTAAAATTAATGAGAACACACAGAAAACTTACCTTTGCTATTGCTCTTTCCCATGGTTGCTGAGAGCTGAATACACTAATCATAACAATTGCAATGATTCTATTTTGGCTAAATATTTAAAATAAAATAGAAAAATTTTAAATTCACGAAAATATTGAAATACATTAAGAAGAACTGGAGAAGCTCGACTTAGGCTAAACTCAAGTCATAATATATCAATGGTTTCCAAACTTTTTCAGCTGTGCTCCTTTTTTAGAATTTGTCAAATATCTCACCCCTAAAATAACTGGATAACAATGAGCTACAAATAACAGATAGTAAAACGATACGTTGAAATATGTGGAAATATCAAAAATACGGCGAACAAGATTAAACTTACAAATATTTTTATTTTTAAATAGCTTCACTCCCCCTCAAATAACTGTATATGACTTCGTCGTGAGGCCAATATATCTTAACCAGGTTTGTTAATTTTAATCAGTAATCATTTAAGTATATTTACTTCCTTCAATACAATAAATACATGTTCTATAAAATAGGGCTCTTCAAACTAGGGGTCCTACCCCCTCAGTGAGGGTATGGTGAAGTGAACCACAAGAGGCTGTGGTTCACCATATGATTAAGCCGTCTTATAGGCTTTCCCCTTTTCCCCAGGATAAATATGTAAATCCTATCCTATTTAAAGTAAAACTTCCTTCCTTCTCATTTCCGATTTATGTAAAAAAAAACAATATTTAAGAATTGATTAGATTACAGTTTTCTGTCTAAAAATGCAACAAATAGAACAACGTCGTAAGTCGATGACTCCCTGTATATCATCAAAGCCACTCCAAAAACACTTTTTTTACTATTAATTTATTATTTTTAAATTCTCAACCATTACATATTGATTCTCTGACAAGGCCAGCCTTATGCCACTACAACCCATGTGGCCACAATAGGTCTCAGAAAGTTTGTCTTTAACAATTCCTCCCATTGAGCTGTTGAAAACATAATTTTAGAAATAGGCCACAGTATCTGCATGACTTCAATATATATAACACTCGTACAGTAAAGTTACTTCAATCATTTGGTTTTGTTAGAAGGTAATGAAATGAATAAACAAGTTAATTTCATATTTCAAAATTTTAATTTTCCTTCCTCTACCCTGACTTGGTCTCGCGCAATCCGTTTCATATAAGGTCCCCGGAATAGTTAGGGCTGTCCTGTTCCTGATGCTTCCCGTGCAAAAACACATCAATGAATGTAGGAATGAATTTTTAGCTATCAGCCCCATAAAATTTAAACATCATCTTTAGGGATATATCCTTATTCATTTTGAGGTATTTTCCCTGGTTCATCAGACGGTGATTGGAGCTTGCGTAGTATGTGTACCAGGTTAGGGTTAGGCCATAATTTTTTTCCGATTCTCCTTATTTTAGTTCTATTATGAGTTAAAGGACTATCTGTGTTAGTCAAGTGAATATACCCCCTGCCCATAGGTTCCAATCCCTTTACACAACTTGATGTAAAGAGGGCAAACAAAATTATTTACTCTCATATTGGTACACATACTTCTGGAGCGCCGATTGGAGATTGCGTGGATTGAAATGCTTTTCAGCCCCCTAGGATTAGTGAGGACCCATGCCCTTTTTTGTTTAACCATACTAATATACAGTGGGTAAACAATACTGGTCTAAAAGAATCTGGTCTTTTAAAACATAGTACAACATTTAAAAACCAAGGGGTTAGAGCAAATCTGTTTTTGAAATATCATGATCAAAAGCAATAGAAACCCATTCCTGAGTATAGTCACTGGTGACTTAAAAATGCCAAAGAATACTACAAATATATATCAGCAATTTCTGATTGGAGGCCTGGGGCCCCCAAGGAGGCCACAGAGCAGCTGAAGGGGCACCACAATGCAAGGCGCAAAACTGATTTTACTTCTAAATGAGTGCTAAGTGGGTCGCGAGAAAAAAGTTTGAGGAACACTGCTGTATAGGTTCCTTATCTTGACTAACAACTATCTTGATGAACTAACCCAGTGTTTCTCAAACTGAGTGTCCCCGCACACTAGTGTGCTGTAAGAGATTCTCTGGTGCGCCGTGGATCTTTTTGGAATTTCAGAAAATAAGCTAATCATATTGTACATAAGCATGCATGCGACCGTTAAATGACTGATAATACTATTTTATTCACCTACTAGTCGATGATTGCGAAAGCCATCAAAATAATCTTGCCATTTGCATTCTCTTGGCTCTACTATGAACACAGATTTAATACCCTGACTGAAATTGAAAGCTAAAAAGTAAATGACATCATAGGGTTGACGACAAAATTTTAGTGTATTTAACCATAACGCAATCTCGTTTCAATCCTATTTGTTCCTTAAAATAGGCACTTCCATCGCCTTAACATTTGCGTAATAAATTTTTTGTAAACGTACAAATTTTAATGACAAGCTGAGTAAACTTTCTAATGTAAGAGCTTATTTACAGAGGGGTGTGGTTCTTTATGCTTTGTGTGTTTAAATGGTTTGACATATTTATGGCCTTTATTTAGTTCTCTCTCGAAATGAAATATTGGACATGTGCAATAAAAAAGGGAAACAGACAAAGAAACCACAAAGCAACACGTAAGCCTGGCTAATCATTAACTTTTTAAATAAAATGTGGTTGAAAGTGCTTTGAGAGATAATCAAAGAGCTAAGTTCGAGTTATTTTGCAATAAGTCAAACGCCACAATCGAGGACATAAACGAGATTATGTAAATACTGGTTTGTTATCACCAAACTGCTGAGGTCATATTATTACACACTCAAAATACAAGGCAGTGCTTCATGCTCTTATGCTAATTTGATTTTCGATACATTTCTCATGAAATTATTTTTATTGTTCACACAAAGACACTTAATAATACAAATATTCAACAAATTTAGTAGCTCCTCCAACACTTAATTTAAGATACGTTTGAATATGGTAAGTTAATATTTTTGATGATGAGCATTCAAAATGCCTCACAAAGTGGCTACCCCTGAACCATGAATGTTATTTTTCAAGATAATATTTCAAAAGATCACAAGCAACTCATCCTCAAGCAAAGTTACTCAAGATTACTCATATACCAAGATCGTTCATATATCTAAATCTAGTTTTTAGATTTGCCTAGGAATAAACGAAAAAATAAGGACTGAGAAGACCTGTATCAGTATGTATATGTGGAGTAGATAGAAAGATGAAAAACAATTTTTTTTCTTGATCAGAGAGTTCCAGATGGACATGAAACGCTTTATTGAACCCTTCAAATTTTACAAGTTTGCTTGTTAAGCATGAATCTTTTATGTATTTAGAGTCCCAGATGGATAAGAGATGCATTTTTAAACCCTTCATATTTTTTCAAGTTGGCTTGTTGAGTATTTATCTTTTGTATATTCAAAAGTTTGGTCATTTTCAGAATATCCTACCAAAAAAGTTCTCCTAGGATTTGATGACAAAGAAAGATTGTATTTCGCTCTTACCGTAATATTAAAAATGTCAACAACTAATATATAAGATTCATAATCTCTCCAAACAAAGTAATCACAATGTGTCAAACTAAACCTGAGAAACCAATGGGCATCAAAGTTATTTATTCAAGACAATATTTTAAAAGCATGGACATGCACACTCACTCACTAATAAATAAATAAATACTCATTTGTGAGCAAAGTTACCACCAAATACCAAGAAATGCTAGATATATTTAAATGCCATTTCTGCAATCAAAACCAAATTTCTGAAGTTTCAATGAATGTGATGTAATAAGAGCAAACAACTATTTTGTATTATGTGGAAATAATATGTTAAAGATCTCAATTTCTATCTTAGGTAATAGTAAAACTATGTATCTGAACATAATGGACAAGAATGGAAAAGCTTTCAGTGCCCCCAATGCTAACAGATTTCCTCACCCAAGTGCATATGCTTGTATAAAGTCTTTTTATTTCATACTGGTAATATTCAAAATTATGAGGAATTAAAATTAAACATTCCTTGTATGGTCTGCTTGCCAAATACCAAAATAATTTTCCAATACAACATCAAGCTTGTATAAAGTCTTTTTATTTCATACAGGTAGAAATTAAAATTAAACATTCCTTGTATGGTCTGCTTGCCAATTACCAAAATAATTTTCCAATACAACATCAAGAAATCAGGATAACAAATTTGTTATGCATACGTCTATAGAAGTTAACACTCTATAATAAACGGATAACAGTGTAAAGTAAACACTTGTAATATGTCTATGTTTGATTGAATATGATAAAATACCGTTTCAAGACAGGCGTAACTACAAGTAATAATTTACACTAATCCATCAAACTGAATCTCAATGAATTTAATCCAATTGTTTCATCTGACTTACTCGATTACTTCAATATGGAACGAAGTTACAGTTTTATGTTTTCTTACAATTCAGTCTTGCATGATGACTTCACTAATAAATCTATGAAAATATGCAATACCAAAGGCATATTATTCAATGATATAAAACCAAATCAGTAACAGTAATGCACTCAACAAATTCTGGAAAGATTTTATGGTCAGAAAATAAGTATTTCATTTGCTATGGGCTACCTAAATCAGTGTTTTTTAAACTGGGCATTTGGTCTCTATAGAAAGCCACAACGTAGTTCTTCGGTGGCACCCATCAAACATGTTCACTGAGTACTATTCGTGATGACTACGGTAAATTAAATGAAATTGAGAGTGTCTGGGATTGGTTTAATTCTTTGACATTCATTCTTTTGTTCTCATTTGTTGGCTTATTATTATTAAACATACCAAACAAGCAACTGATGGAAAGCAAAACTAGTTATTAATACAGAAAAACAAGGAGCCAAAAGTTTCAAGAAGGGTACCTCAAATTATGAAGGTTTGAAAACCACTTTTCTAGACTATGCCAATCTTTTATCAAATATTTTTCTTATCACTTGACCGTAATCTTATTCTTTTACTGGTGTTTGTTTTTATTATTAAACATGGAGAATAAAATAGCTCACGGATAGCCATTGAAAACTAAGTATTTCTTTTTATTGGAAAAGAGAGGTTACAAATTTTGGAAGTATTTGGGA